CCTGGAGGGAGTTCATCCTAGAACTACAAACCACCTTTGGCCCCCATGATCTTGTTGCTGACACAAAGAGTCAGCTTGACCATTTACACATGAAAGATAACCAGCACATCAACAAGTATGTAGTTGATTTTAATCAGCTTGCTTCACAAGTCCGAGGCTATGGTGATGGTGCACTGCGCCATCACTTCTACTCCAGGCTCCCAGGCCAGATCAAAGATGAAGTCTGTCAGGTTGGCAAGCCCTGGACTCTTCATAAGTTCCACCACCTCACCCAAGAAATAGATGCATGCTATTGGGAGTGCAAGGAAGAAATCCAATGGGCAAGTAAGCATCAAGGCTCATCCACCTCCAACAACAATAAGTCTGGAGGCTCTGGTAACAACAATCAACCCAAGACCAGTCAAGAGAAAGCCAAGACTGGCAGTAACAACAATACTGGTACTACCCAGTCCAAGCCAGCTTCATCGAAGCTGGGTAACAACAATAACAGCAATTTGTCCAAGCCCAAGTATAGCAAACTCAGCAAGGATGGAAAGCTCACCCTGGAAGAATGCAAGTGTTGCATAGATGGAAACCTCTGCATGTTCTGCAGAGGGTCCAGTCATTTCACTGATAAATGCCCCAAGAAAGCCAGTAAGGCCAAGGTTCATGCTGCAGCTATTACTGAGGCTGCACCAGCCTCAGGCTTGGGTTCTACCCCCAAGACAAAAAAATAGGTAGCAGCTCCCAGGACTCTGCACAAACTGGGAGCTGTGTTGACTCTGGTTGTGCAAACTTGGAGGCTAGACTCAACATGTCTGCTCTTTCCAGTCCAAATTCATTAACTCTGTACATCACTGTAGAAAATCATGATTTACCTCAGCTTTGTACCCTAGTGGATTCTGGCTCCACTCATTGTTTTATAGATAATCAATTTGCTAATCAACATTTGTTTACCCCTTACTTGGTCTCACCAATCCAACTCCTGCTTTTCAATGGAACATCCACATTCACCATAACCCAAGCAATAGATGTCTCAATCTGCTTCACATCTGGAGATGTCACACCAGTAACCCTGTACCTTACCCTGTTAGATTCTGAGTGTAAAGTAGTTCTCAGGCATAACTTGCTCACCCAATACAATCCATTGATTGACTGGGTACTGAGCAGTATTACTTTCCAGACTCATACACAAGGAATGCTAACCCCATTGATACCCCCTGTAAGACTGGTCTCCACTGGCCTTCCTGACCCTGGTCCTAGTGACCAACCCAGCCTTGCACCATCTGTACTGGTCTCTGACCCCCCAGCTTGCACCCCCCTGAAGGCCCCTCTTGTCTCCCTAATCAATGCAGCCACCTTCATATGTGCCTGCAAACTTGAAGGGTCTGTCCAGTTCCAACTTCAGCTCCACCCCTTGGACTCAGCCCAAGCCCAATTGGCTGAGGCCTTATCTTCCCTGGCCTTACCCAATGTCCCAGAGCAGTACCATGATTTTGCTGATGTCTTCAGTAAAGCCAAGGCCTCAGCACTCCTGCCTCACTGGGAGTATGACCTGAAAATAGAGCTTGAAGAAGGAACAACCCTGCCATTAGGCACCATCTATTCACTGTCCCTGGTCAATCTGCAAGCTCTCCAGACTTCCATTGATGAGAACCTCACCACTGGTTTCATTTGTCTGACCTCTTCCCCCTATGCTACACTGGTCCTCTTCATTAAAAAGAAGGACAGCTCCCTCTGGCTCTGCATAGACTTCTGCAGCCTGAACAAAATCACTAAGAAAGACTGATATCTGCTACCACTCATCTCTGACCTCTTAGACTCACCAAGCCAAGCCAAGATCTATACCAAGATTGATCTCTGGCATGCCTACCATCTTGTCCAGATTGCCCCAGGAAATGAATGGAAGACTGCATTCCAGACTCAGTATGGTTCCTACAAGTGGTTAGTGATGCCCTTTGGCCTCACCAATGCCCCAGCCATTTTCCAACACTTCATGTGTTATGTTTCACCCTGCTTTTCTTTGTTCACTGTATGTTTACCATGTGTTTTGATCTGTTGGACCACTTTTCCTTTTAGAGCTGTCTTCTCTCTGATCTGATGGCTTGTTATCTCCACCACTGGTGTTTCTCTCTCATTACATGCTTAGGACATGTGTCACTATGGTTCAACCAATAGTGTAGTTACCTCATTACATGTGGATGCCTTGTGGTCCATTTCCTTTGTAGTATTTAGCCTGTTGGCTCAAGTCCTGGAGCCCCAGACTTGAGCTGCTCAATCATATGCAGCATTTCTCAGAACCTTGCCCTCAGTGTCCCTTACCTGGACCACTCCTACTGGCATTGACCAAATCCTTCATTGTTTATGAAGGTTGCTGCAGCTGAGCTCCCCTTATGCCTTGACTTTGGTCTTAGTGTAACAAAAGCTCAAGTCTGACAGCCTTTGGCTGAATCAGTCATTGTTTAGTGTACCACCATGAACCCCCAAAACAACCAATGTTGGGTGCCATTGTGACCCACACAAGAAGAATCATCATCAGATGAAGAACAAGAGAGCACTGTCACAGACACCTCCAATGAATCAGAACAACTGGATAGAGGGAATAAGATTGCTAGATTTTTAAATGTTAGTTTATATTCTAGAAGTAGAATATTCTGGTATCCTCTTGAATCTCTTTAATCAGTCTCTCACTATGCTCGGTACTCCTATTCCTCCAGTACCTTCCCCTGCCATGTTCCCTAGACCCCCAACCCTGCTCATGATGTCTGGTTCATCTTCAAAGGCAATGACTGGTGCTACTGCCATCAAATCCACTGAATTGAAGATTGGTGTCCCATCTGACTTCAATGGTGACCAAAAGAATGCCATGAGCTGGCTGTATTCAGTCCAAACATACATCATGGTAAATGAAGGAGTCTATGACACTGACACCAAAAAGATCATCTATGCACTGTCATACATGAAGAAAGGAGTTGCTTGCTCTTGGGCAGCAACCTTCCAGAAAATGTCTCTGGAAAAGAATCCCCTGAGTTTTGGCTCATTTTCTGATTTCAAGAAGGAGTTTAAAGACTCATTCACCTCCCCTGACACTGCTGGTACTGCTATTGCCAAACTGCATACCATGAAACAAAAAGACTCAGTGGAGCAATATATCACCAACTTCCAGACTGCCACTGCTGACTCTACCATCATGGAGGATGTTACTCTGATCAAGTTCTTCTCTCAAGGACTCAAACCATTCATTGTGAACTGCATCCACATGATGGAAACCACTCCCACCAAAATCATGGAGTGGCACACTCAAGCACAAAAGTTTGACACCAAGTGGAGGAAAGTGAGTGAACTCTCCAGAAAGAAAGAAAAGAGGGCATTCTACCCAAAGAACAACCTCTTGGAAGAAAAAGATCCAACACTATGGATGTGGATGGAGTGAGACTCTCCAAAGAAGAAAGAGACCATCACATCAAAGAAGGAAGATGTTTTGGTTGTGGAAATAAAGGGCATCTCTCTCAAGAATGCCCTGACAAAGAGAAGACCCCCCAGAAGAAGGTCAAGAAAATCTGAAAGATTGTGGAAGTTGAAGAAAGTGACAATGAAGAAAAAGTCACTGGTCCTTCCATCACCTTAGTCAATATTGCTAGTGCACTAGGAAAGGATTTTTAGAAGGGAACTCTGTGTTGATGCCAGATGTTCCCAATGCTAAGGACAGTTCTCCTTCTGTTGCACCTGTAATAGTATCTTCTACCCCAGATCATACTATGCAAATCCCTATTGCTCGTTATGCATCAGAAAGAACAGGAAAAGTCATCAACACCACTGCACTGGTCGACTCCAGTGCCAAAATTTCATGCATTGATTGGGGATTTGTCCAAAAACATGTTATTAGACTTCAATAGAATCCCACAAACCTCACAAATGTGCACCAGTGGCAAGTATGACATGAGACAGCAGCCCAGGGGAAAGCTGGTACCAAAGGTGTTAGCATATGCCGCACTCATGAGATTCATGTGGGTGATGATTGCTCCTGTGAAAAGATAAGTTAAGAACCACTGGCATCATGAACAGTATTCCACCTTTTGGCAAGTTTGTTGTTCCCTATCGTCCAGAATGAATGAAGCAGCCAATCAAGAGTGCAATTAGGAACATACCAAGGTGTAGCACAAAGAAGCGACCTGATCAGGAGACACCAGAAGAGGTTCAATGAGGTTTTCCTCACCATATGTCTCGACTGTACAACCGAAGGTCAGTGTGCAGGCCTGCCTGTCAAAAAAAAAAAAACAATCACAAGTTGATTTTGTGACCATATACCAACTGTCTCCATGTCTGTTGCCTTGAGTGTGAAAACCACGAAGACCTACTACATGATATGGGTGACAGATGTCAGCCAACGGTTTCACAAGTAGGTTGAGGAGGTTTGGGTGCATGAGCACCAGCTCACACAAACAGGCAACAGATGTAGGCCAACTGTTTCAACAAGCTGAGAAATCATGAACACTTACCCCATGATATGGGCAACAGATGTTGGCCAACAAAGGCTCAGTGAAATGGGCAACAGATGTCAGCCAACAGTTTCATGAGCAGGTCAAGGAGGTTTGGGTGCATGAGCACCAGCTCACAGAAATGGGCAACAGATGTAGGCCAACTGTTTCAATGAGCTGAGAATTCATGAACACTTACTCCATGATATGGGCAACAGATGTCAGCCAACAGTATCACAAGTAAGGTTCAGTGAAACAGGTGACAGATGTTAGCCAGCAGTTTCAACGATCCTGCAGAGTTAGTATTAGAAGCTGCTGAGATTTGAACATGCATGATGTACTGTGGTTGGTTATGTTGTGTGGACCTGATTTCACATCAACAACAATTTTCTTGTTGCAAGTTAGCATGTCACATGTCAACATTTCATTAAGGAACTATCCATGGCCAGAACAAGGCAGAATGCAAAGAAAACCACATCTGGTATTGTGCCACGAGTGCAAATCACTTGCACTGCTCATGCCACCCCCATCTGATGCACATCCATGCAGTCCACCTCAAAGGCCTCAACACTGAGTTCATTGACATCCATTCCATCCTCTTGGGGACAGTCCCCTCTGGCTGAGGAGTGGCATAACCGGGTATGTACTATAGGTCCATCCTCCTATCACTGCTAACACAATAAGTAGTATTGCTACCTTTGCCACAATGGAGCTAAATACTTATTCAAGTGCTATTCCTGCCCTCGCATCGTGTGCGACCCCTGCTTAGGATTAGCACAGTGGCTCATGGACAAGGCCCGTGCCAAGGACATAGACTTCCAGTGTCCCAGTTGCCATGAACTCGAAGAGGGTGGTGCAAAGTGCAAAGAGCTACATCCATACTTTGTGAGCTATTCATCATTCACAATCTGAATAGAGCTGACATGAGTCCAAGCCATTCATGTGCACAGTGCTCAGGAAGAGAATTCCCATGTTGGATAAGCCAGTCATCATCTCAGGGATTTGTGAAAGGGCATCTAAGTCTCAAGTGTGTGCCGAGTCCACCCTTATTCTTGAGCTCATCTGCACAGGAGTGGAAATTCAAGGTTCGTTGCCATCGCTCCTCAACATGACCATTGAGGAATATCACACAAGCAACTCCCTTCTGTATCAAAAAATAATCTTCGATTTTGGTACAGATTGAAAGTTTTGTCGGTGGAGTATGAGGATCAAAAAACTGGGTGAAAAGTTTGGTGTGTACACCTTCAAGCACAAGATCATATTCATTACTGTTCATAGCAAAGTCACCCATGGTGACCTGTTTGCAGGGAAGGGCAAGAGTGGTGAGGATGTTGCAATGGAGGTTGGTGAGGTATGTGACTGACATGAGGAGGTTACTCTCTCTCATCTGTTTCAGTTCATGAAATGCCTGTTCGCTTCTCCCCTGCAAAACATGGTCTACGGTTCTACACTGTTTATGTTGACTTGTGGCCCTGTGGTTTCCTTTGAACAATCATTAGCAGTGTTGAAGCAATCTATTGTGCAGTCAGTTATTAATGATTGATCTATAAAAAACCTTACTAACTGTTGCCAAGACTCCAGCCAGAGTATATGGTTGCATTCACTGCCAAGGATTTCCTCAACATGGTCATCAAAATTTTCATCATGTCATACGGCGTCAAAGTCTTGATTGAAGGACATGCTCTGGAGAACATTATCCATGACCTACTCGACGTCTCACTTGAACTTTGGATGCACACTGATGTGATGCTCTTTCATCTTTCAGGCCTAGGATTGCCAAGGGCACCATGGTTACTTAGCCCTGCCCCACTCACTGCCACCCCTCTCCTCGCCATATACAGGTACTCATGGTACCACAGCCATCGGCACCCATGGGGCACATCTTGATACGCTTTCTTTCCCAGTCTTTCTCTTTTCAGGTTGTTACGGTCACGTGCGTCACGTGCCTTGTCGCGTTGCTGGTAGTTGTGGCTGTCCTAGGGGTACATATGCTGAGGGGAGAACTCGGATCACCCGCTGTCCAGGTATTTCCAATACCTGTCGAGACTCATCACTTGTGATCCGTAACGTTCACCACTCTCGTACCTGTTCCTCCCGTGTTCCATCTGTTTCCCCTGACTTGTTCTGACTCGTTTATATTGCCTACATGTTGTACTATAGCTCTGGTGTCTGGCTCCTCGCTGCGCATTGATTGCGCAGCCGGTATAGCCATCGTTTCCCCTTCTACCCCATCACTGACACTGTATGACTCTTATTTATTTCAGTGATTAGTTTGTTGATTACTGTGGATACGCGTCGCGATGCGTCTGTCACGACTGGTAGGGTACTCGTACTTAGGGGTATTTAAGCCCACGTACTTTACCATGTATCCTCAGTTTTTCGATAGCTTGCAACTGAGCTAATTACTTCGCTCTCATCCTTGTTCTCTCTCCGCGCGAACAACCTTAGGGACTCACCAGCAGACAGAACCTCTGTCGGATAATTGTGATAACTCAGCCATAGGGGTTACGACAAGTTCGGCCCGTAGACTCCCACCTCATGTGCTTCGTGCCTATTCCATTTGAAGAAGTCACTGCGCTCGGGCATAACAAAATCAAAAAACTCGACGCAGCTTTCGGGACTCGTCAACCTCTTTGCGAAAGTCAACTCGTCCCTCGGTTACTGAACTTCAACAAACCAAACCTTAACTTTACTCAAGGCTCGTAGGTCTCCCTACGTGTAAAGACTAACTTGCCTTGTCCCCTACCTTTCGGTTCGACTAACAAGATCGATAACACCGCCGAAAAACACCCCTCTACCCTCAATCAAATCCACCGCTCTACAGGCAGCCACTAGGCTTTAATAGATCGCCTCCCTAGAGTCCACGCTCGTCGATCCCTATGCATAAATCTACTCGCGCACCACATCCCCCTCGCTGACAGGTTTCTTTCGAGAAATAAATCCTCCCTCAGCTCTCGTTATCACTTCCCGTTAAAGTGTCTAACTCAGGAAAGTCGAGACCTCCAGTCCCGCCCCGCCCTAATCCACTAGGACTTGGAAGGAACCCGCCTTTACCCCCTATTCCGCTAGGAAGACTTGGGCCGTCAGCCACAGCAAGTAATCCTAGGTTGTCTTATCTATCCCGTTTTAGGGAATCGGAAGTCGCGCTTAGTTCAGAAGAAGAAGACGATCAGAAGTCCGATACTTCTTTCGGATCAGTCCTCAAGGAAGAACAAGAAGCACGCAAATCACCGGAGATGTCCATGACGATCGGACACGGAGAATCAGCTCCCGAGATGCCGCCTAAGGTATATACTGAGGAGGAGCTGAAGGAAAGGTTGGAAAGACAGATGCACTCTTTGGCAAAGGATTGGCGTAAGATCGCCGGGAATCCCATACAGTCGAGTGATCCCTTCCCAACAGGAACGCCTATGGACTCGGCTCTGCGAGCGTGGTACGCTAGGAACTTCGGAAAGGTAATTCCCCCAGAGGTCCCCGTTGGTGGGTCCAGTAAGGGTAAGGCCCCAGAAGACCCAGACCACTTGTATGATGTCCGCCCACCCAATGGAGGAAGGGAGTTTAATGTCGGGCGTCCCGGAGAATACAACGGAAGCCACAACGGGCTTCAAACTTGGATCACTCAAGTCGAAGGGTACCTCAACTTGAACAAGCATGTGTACAACACGGAGTCGCTCAAGATTTCGTTTGCGCTCACGTATATGACGAAAGGAGCAGCGGTCACGTTCGCCGAAAACTATCAAAACGAAAACAAGCTACTCGACAGGACTATCTGGTACACCGACACCTTCCAGAGATTCGTCGAGCGACTTAAGGCAACGTTCGAATCGGGCGATCAAACTGCCCTTGCTATCCTACGTCTCTCCGACATTGTGCAAGGCAAACGAGAACTGGAAGCGTACATCGCAGAGTTCACCGGGCTTGTCAACAAGGCCCAGTTAAAGGAGGAGTCGCGTGAAGCAGGGATTTTCTTCGGAAAAGGCCTCAACAAAGAATATCGCGATTGGATTCTTAATTCAGGACGCGCCCCTACCACCGTCATCGAATGGATACAGTGCATGGGAGAAGCAAGAACCGCAATCGCCACGAGGCACATCTTAGAAGGAAAGGAATCCTGGTATGAAAGAAAGTTCATTCATTACCACGGGGGTTCCCGAGATCCCAATGCGATGGATGTCGACAAAAGAAGGCGAAACGTACGCCGATCCAACAATGACGTAACGTGCTTCGAATGCAGAGCAAAGGGTCACTACAAGCGTGACTGTAAAGGAAAAGTTCCCCCTGCGCAAAAATCCGGAATCAAAGTCGTCCTCTCCCCAGACGGAACAAGAACCGCTTATATGGGAGATCGTCTGGCAACAGACGAGGAATGCAACAAATATGGGGTGAATTTTTAAATGGGACCGCGGCAGCTCCTCACGTGGGTCCCGTTTCTGTGTTGTCCGCAATCTGTACTACTACTATAGACGATGAATCAAAAATGCGTGTTGGTTCTCCTCTGGGAAGAGTATGGTTGCCGGATTACGGAGTAGGAGTAATGGTCTGCATCGATTCGGGTGCAGAGGTCTCGCTCATTTCGGAGCAAATCGTTCAAAGACTAAAAATTCCGACTTACCACGTCAAGACTCGGTTCAAGACCACTTCGTTTACCGGAAAGGACGTCGAGTGGGTGACTCGGAAAGTTTCCCTGAAGATCATCATCAAGAATCGCGTAATACGTGTCAAGTGCTACGTCGGTCCGTTGGTCGGGAAGGAGCATATCCTTTTAGGGATGCCCTTCCTCCGAACCTTCAAGCCAAGAATGGACTGGGAGAAGAACTTGATTATGTGTTGGGATGATGGGTTTGTACTGACTAGGGAAACTGACATATACATCCACAGCAGGGTCCCTTACTACGAAGGATATGCAGTAAAATTCAACAAAGACGGTTCCATCAAAGAGGAACCAGAGGTAAGGAGTATTAACAAAACTACCTTATCTACAGAATTGGAAGCAGCGCTAGCTGCTACGAAAGAAGAAGTTAAACTTCCTGAAATATACAAGGAATACGTGCAAGTTTTCTCTGAAGAAGACATCCCTCTGCCGGTCCACTGTCCCGGGTTGGACCACGAAATTCGACTCAGGGAAGACTTCAAGCCCAAGAAAGCCGCCGTATACCCGATGGCTCCGGACAAACTCAAGGTCCTCGATGAGTTCCTGGAGGAAAACTTAAAATGTAAGAAGATTCAACCCTCAACATCGCTGCAAGCCGCCCCGGTGTTTTTCGTAGCAAAGAAGGATGGGAAGAAGAGATTGATACAAGATTACCGGTATCTCAATTCATTCACCATTCCGGATGCTCACCCGCTGCCGAATGCACAAGCGCTGTTCGATGAGCTGGTTGAATCAAGATATTACGCAAAGTTCGCCATCCGTTGGGGATTTACAAACCTACGGGTGAAAGAAGGTGATGAATGGAAAGGAGCCTTTATTACTCCAAGAGGGCTCTTTGAACCTACGGTAATGTTCTTCAGACAGTGCAACTCACCGCCTTCGTTCCAAAGGTATATGGATCGCACTTTCGAATCTCAACGAGGAAAGCAAGTCGGATATATGGACGACGTGGCAATCCACGGGAAAACTCGAGAAGAACTCCAAAGTTGCGTCCACGAGTTTTTGGAGATTTGCCGCAAAGAAGGACTTCGGCTGAAGATCAGCAAATGCGTGTTCGAAGCTGAAGAAATCGAGTTCCTGGGGATGATCATAGGAAAAGGAAGGATGGAGACGTCACCGACCAAAACCGATGCCGTCAGTACCTGGGAAGCCCCTGATAACTTAACCGGGCTTCGAAGGTTCCTCGGCTTCTGCAACTTCTATCAGAAATTCATCCCATCCTTCTCAAGCGTCGCTCGCCTGTTACACGACTTAACCAAGAAAGGGGTCCCCTATGTCTGGACACCGGAGAGGAATGCCGCTTTCGAGCGGTTGAAAACTTTGTTATGCTCTGCTCCGGTCCTCACTATCCCGGACTTCTCCAAGCCTTTTGCGCTCTTTACCAATGCCTCCAAGCTCAGAACCGGCGGGGTTCTTGCCCAAAAGGGATCGGATGGGGAATGGCACCCCTGCTCCTACTTGTCCCAATCCCTCGTCGGCGCCAAACAGCGTTACCAGGTCTATGACTTGGAAATGCTGGCCGTAATCCATGCGCTAAAGGCTTTCCGCCCTTACCTCCTTTCCCCCGTTGAGCCAACTGTGATCTTCACTGATCACAAGAACCTGGAATACTACCGCGAACCCCAGCAGCTTACCCCTCGTCAAGCATGGTGGGCTGCTACGGTTCAATCCTACCCTATTCATTTTTCTTGGCAGGCCGGCCGCCTTCAGGTTCCCGCCGACACCCTGTCCCGGAAGAACGAGTCTTCGGAACCGGCCCCTGTTGCCACGGTCCTTCCACCGGACCTTTGGCTTTCGGAGGGGGTGGATGGTTCTCAACCCAAAATTCGCCTTGTTTCGCCAACTTTTTCCCTAACAAAAATACAAAAAGTACAAAAAATCAACCAGATCGC